ACCCCTTCAGTCGAAGCTGTGACAGAAGACAAAGACACAGGCCTCACTAGGAAGCACATTTACTCAAGCACGGTATATTTGGCACAGCGCATGCTCATGAGAGCGAGAGAGAGATGGTCTATTCCTGTTGATGAAAACCGCATCAGTGGGAAATAAGTTGCACGACTTTACTCTCCTTCGAGGGAGGATTTATGTGGGTAGGGTGGCTATCTCTTCACAATTGGCAGCATGTTGGTGATGTAAATAAAACCACTCAGCACATGCTCCTTCCCATAATTTACTCTGTGAGAATGAGATTCATTGGGTAACTGCAATGCAGTCCCTGCATAATGAAGCTAAAAGTCATTCTTGGTCAAGAGATGGGGCCCCTGTGCCAACGCTGGGGAAGTCCCTTTGTGATCTAAGTTTCATCTATCCTAGACATGGTGACCTGCCATTAGTGGCTACAGCCTTCTCATAGGAGGAGGACTTACATGGTTTCCCGCCCTCCCCCCTGCTACTCTGACTTCCCGCTGAGCAAGCAGTGTGCTCTGAAACACACTCACAAGGGCTTAGTTGTAAATAGGCCTCAAAAATATTGTTTATTTGGTCAGGTTGTTATAAAAGTGAAAATTGTATTATCTATAAAACTCAGTTCAATGCCTGGAAACAGAAGGCATTTAAATCTTAATTTCTATTGGTGGTATTACAAATTATAAATCTTTATTAATTTAGGAGGGCAAAAAACATGGACAAGGAGCACACATGAAGTTCTCTCTATTCTGTCACATTCCAATACAATTTGCAACTTCAGCCTACTACGCAGTATGAGAGCGCCAAACATTTTAAAACAATCTGTATAATTATTGTATGATTATTTGTAATTAGAAAGTAATTATTTCTGTAATTTTTTACATAGATCAAAATAAGTTTCTCTCCTATTTAAAAATTTTAACTAGAAATTTGTTCTACCAATTATTGTGCCTCAACTTTTCACAATTGTAGACAACTTCAATTTAAATGATCACACATCCAGATCAGTAGATTCTAAAGTAATGGCTTTTGGTGTATTTGTGAAAATGTAGCAAACATGTGTCACATATATTTGTTTAACATATCTTGAATTGTTTTGCGCTTATTGTTCAAGCTGCCAATGAATCAGAAATTCTTAGAAAGCAAATTAGCTATATGAAAAATGGAGTTCTAAGGATATAGAGATTCTTTCAGAGTGTTTTTAGATTAGTTTACAAAAATTAAGATGTTTATTTTTTATTAAGTTATCCTTTTCGTAGAAGTATTTCAATTCTTACTGTTTTTTTCTTAAATTACTTTTAACTTTCATTAGTATTAAGTGGTTGTTTGAAGGCACTTTAAAAGGCACTTACACTCATAAACAATAATATACTTCAAATGTCCTTCTAAACTCTAATTCTTTTGTTTTCACTTAGTGTCTCTTGTGGCCAAGTAAATATTAAAAAATTTTCTCATGATTGATAATTCTTAGGAAAATGAAAGCAATATAGAATGATTTTGACATAGATACAATATAGATTAAAATACAAGTTCTACTACAGAAATAATAGGCCTGTCGAGAGAAAGGAGACAATTATAATAAAATGAGAAAACCTCAGTTGTAGTTTGTATTTTCCACAATCATCCCCGGGATAAGGGAGCTCTCTCATTACCTTTTCATCTCAGAAGATACTGAAATATAGCTTCTTAACAGAACCAGGAAGGGCTAGATTTTTCAACCTGTATTACTCCTGGAAACAGCTTCTTCCATCTTCTTCCGTCTCTTTTCTGTGGCATGCTCCAGCCAGCTGCTGAAATCGATTGCCGTCTGGAAATTAAAAGCCGCGTGCACAGACCACAGCACTGCGTCTGCTGGAACAGATGGCCCCGGGTGAATTGTTCACACGGCTACACCAAACCTTGGGATTTTACCAACAGGCTTTACCCTCCTGAGATAAAATAATGGGCACTGGAATGACAAATTAGCAGAAAAACTTTCATCCTCATATTAAAACAGTATGTTTTGGCTTCTTTTGCTGTATTTTTCTAATCAAGCCAAAATTATGGTGTAGGGTAAATATCACAGGGCATGCAAAAATCCACAAATTCCTCTGGTTTATTTATTTTTCCTGTCTTATCATTGAGATTAAAATTGGGTCCCAGTGGAATTTAAAGTTATTTTTGTTATTTTAAGTTATTATATGTTGGGTTTTTTTTTCATTTTAAGTCATTTTTATTTCACATCTTTAAAAAATTGTTGATGTCTACATTCAACAGCATTCACTATTTTCATATATTGTCTCACAGTCAGAAATAAGAGAAGAGGGAGAAGAAGCAAATGAGCATTGTTGCATTCCTTTCATGGATCTTACTTTTGACTCCATCCTGTCTGATCTCACAACTCTCCTGAGAAGCCTGCACAGATCCATTCTTTTGGCAGCTTTAATACATGCTATACGGTCACTATTAAACTTTGCTTAGTACATGCTATAGGGTTGCTGTGAGTCGGCATTGATTTGGTGGCAGTGAGTTTGGTTTTTGAGTTTTATGTAAGAGTCTTGGGACAAGGTCAGCAGTTCAAAGCCACCAGCTGCTCTAGGGAAGGAAGATGAAGCCTTTTTTCTTTTTTAACTTTAATAAAGACTTACAGTCTCTGAAACCCACAGAAACATCTGTTTCTCTTATGTAGGATGATTGTGAGTTGGAATCGACTAGATGACAATGGGTTTACAGTGTTTACAGGGGCGAGCAAGATAGGTATAGTTTCTATTTTATGCAGTTTCCCTTCTTGCAGGAAATACATGCAGTAACAAATACAGAAGTGTATCATTTAGCAAATTCTAAATACCTTATGGGAAGTGGGAAATGACATGATTTGGCCTTAGTGGGAACACACCATACTATATGCAGGCAGTCCATATACAACTCAGAGTTAAACCCATGTAGAGCCCATTATGTTAAATAAAACCTTATGAGAACCCACTGGACAAAGCCTGACAGCCATACGCATTGTACAGTGAAGACTGACCTTGCTGGGCAGGGGCCTGCATGGGCAGCTTGATGGAGACTTTGTACGTGTCCATGCACAGTGTAGGAAGCAGGACACATGGAGGACACGAAGGTGTGGCCAAGGGGACTGAGTGTGTCGGTGCTGTGAGTACAGCTATGGGCAGCTTCTTGTGTGCAGCTACTGCCACCCAGAACCTCGCATTGGTGGGTGCCCTGGTCCAGCCAACACTGTCAGTGCCCACCGGAGGCACAAAGGTGCTGCTGTGCACTAGGAGAGGCTGCATGTTGCTGGGAGGGTGAGTGAAGCCGGGAAGAGGAGAGGGAGTCACTGAGAGGTTATACACAGGGATATATAGATACCCTGGAGCACCCCCACCCCCCCACCCCCCGCCTGCTCATTCTGGGGGTTTAGGGTCTTTAACCCAATTCAGAGTAAATGATCAACAAAAGGAGTCCTGGTTTCCCCTTTCAAAAATACACGCAATCAGATGGTGCCCAAATAGACTTTAGGTAACTTAAGGTGACCAGATTTAAAGCGGGACACCATTGACGGGGGTGGGGGTGGGGGAGTGTTTTGATTAAAATTTTGGTCTGTATGGACCAAATAGACCGTTCCCTAGCTTGTCGTGCATTCTTTCCAAAAATTGGGACTTTCTTAAAACGCCAAAAATTGGAATTGTCCGTCACCTTAGGTAACATATATCAGTATTTGATTCATGATTAAAGTAACTTTTCAATAACGGATAATAGGGAAGGCTTACTTAGACAATGCTCACAGTGGTTAAGCACTTGAATCAATTTCTGAAAAGTCAGCCCCTGAAAACGCTAGGGGACACTTCAAGTCCTCTTCAATTCTGACCCTCCTGGGGTCATCATGAGCCGGAGTTGATCATTGGCAATGGGTTGTGGGACCTTGCTGAGTTGGGATTGGGGTGAAGGTCAAGGAAAGTCCCCAAAGTTATTGGAAAAATGCTTGCAGGTCATAATGTATGATTCATCCAGCTTTATCCTGCAGACAGAATAGGAGCTGTCCTGGAGAAGGATGAGGTGTGTCCAGTTGTCTAGAGATGGGCATTGGGTCCCCATCATGCGCCACCCTCATTGACAAGGATATGATTTTTCTCCCCGCCTTTGGTGTTTGAAGCCTGCTCCCTCCTCGGCCCTTCATGATCACACATGTTGGTATGCTGCTTCCATATGGGCTTTGTTGCTTCTGGGCTAGATGGCCACTTGTTTACTTTCAAGCCTTTAAGTCCCCAGACGCTATATGTCTCAATAGCCGGGCACCACCAGCCTTCTTCACCACACTTACTTATGCACACATTCGTCTTCAGCATACCATGATCCCAGTTCTACCTTGCAAACCTGGTTAGACCAGAGAATGCACAGTGGTACAGATGAGAACTGGAAACACAGGGAATCTAGGACAGATGAACCCCTCAGGACCAGTGGTGACAGTGGTGATACTGGGAGGGAAGGGGGGCTAGAAATGGGGAATCAATCACAAGGATCTACATATAACCTCCTCTCTGGGGGATGGGCAAGAGAAGGGTGGGTGAAGGGAAATGCCGGGCAGCGTAAGATAAGATATAATAATAATTTATAAATTATCAAGGGTTCATGAGGGAGGTGGGAGCAGGGAGGGAGGAGGAGGGGAGAAAGGAAAATGAGGAGCTAATTCCAGGAACCCAAGCGGAAAGCGAATTTTGAGAATGATGAGGGCAACAAATGTATAAGTGTGCTTTATACAATTGATGTATGTATGGATTGTGATGAATCGTATGAGCCCCAATAAAATGATTTTAAAAAAAGTGGGTGTTGACTTCAGTCTTAGGTTGCCTTGTGCTCTTTCTGCGTTTCCCGTTAAACGCATCACTTTGATCTGCACGTGCGGGCTCATTCCCCTGAGCTGCTTTTGTGTTCTCACTCAGGCTGATTGCTTTCCACAGGGAAGTCAGCTGCACACATGCCTTCAGCATCGTTCTCTGTTTGTGTTGCAGCGTTCCAACATTCCAGAGCCTCCCTGAAGAGATCCTCAGTAAGCTCGCCGACGTCCTTGAAGAGGTAATTGTTTTCAGCCCTTGAACTTGTGGTGGTGGGAGAAGCCTGCTCGGATGGCTTCTTTCACAGCTGTATGAGGAGCAGGCACAGCTGCAGGGACACCATTTTAATTTTTTTTTTTTTTTTAACTCTGGGGTTCACGACAGGGTTGGCTTCACATGAAAAGCAGCGCAGCAGCGCATCCTACACTTCCACAGTTACAAAGGTGAAAGTCCATTTCTTTTCGGGCTGGGGAGGAAAAATTTTCCTTGCAGCCAGTATGTTGCCACTCTTGTTTCCCAAAATCGAAAATGGTTCCCTCTCTTATTGCCGACAGATTGGGAGCTTATTTTATGAGCATGTAAAGACACACATAATTTTATGCCTGTGTATTCAAGTGTCACCCAACCACCCTTTTGCAGAAGGAGAGAAGGACTGAAGGTCAGGTGCTTTGATCATGGGCCACCTCTTTGAGATTGGTTCCTACCAACAGTGTCCCATACTTCCGCTCCAACGGAGGGCAAAATCAAATGTAATTCCCACACATTTTATTTGGAAAGCTCTTCTCCTGAATGTATTGGGAATATGAGTTCTCCTTCAGAATGAAAACAAAACATGATATGTTCCCTCCTGTCGAGGAAGTCCAGATGGGTTGATGAAATCGAAGAGCAGTGTCCAGGAAGACAAAGCCAAAGTCGGCTGCTCTAGCTGAGGTCAGTAACACGGAGAATAGAATTCCGTTTACTCAGACTCTACGGACAAGCAGTGGATTCGAGAATTTAAAAGGTCAGTCAGACCACCCAGGCAACATCCCAGAGCAGAGCTGGCTCAGGTGAACTGGGGCAGTGATGAGGAAGGCGAAGTCGGAGGAGAGTACACGGCTGTAGCACAGGGAATTCTGTCGCTGAAGGAGAGGAGAAGGCCGCATAAAACACCCTGGCGAAATCTAAGAGAAGGGCGTTCTGCTGCCTGTGGAGACAGAGCAGGCCGAGGAACGGCACACTTGCAGGTAGGAGGGTTGATGGGTGCTTGGAGCCGTGGAAAGTTTGTTATGGTTTTATGACTGAGGGTGAAGAAAAGGATAGACAAAGGAGGCACTTAAGTACAGAAAAAAATGTGTGAGATAGTTGTGTAGAAAAGGGGAAGAGTCCGTGAACTAGGGACATGCGTCGTCATTAAAGATCACGCATGACGTTAGCGATCCCAAGTGTGCAGCGAGACTGCCTCACTAGGTTGTGTGCGGCTTTTCATCCTCGTGTATTTGCTCAGATGCAGACTCCAAATAGGCAGAGAATTTGAATCAACCAGGATTTGTGTTTGACCAAGAGGGAATGAGTTCCTTAGCGAGAGACTCCTGTGGGAAACAGGCCCGGGACAGGAGGTACAGATCATTGCCCAGGAAATGCAAACGAGCAAAGAGGAGAGGAGTCCCGGCGGGACGAGGAGTTGTGGAAGATTGTGAACTAGCAGACTGTTTCACTTTGGAGGCGGGCTAGAAAAGGTGGAGCGCTAGACTGACCCTGAATATGTTTTTGCAAAGAAGTTCCAAAGTTCATATGCTCAGAGGCTTCGCTTGGGGCTTCTGGAGGTGAATTTTCTTTGTATTTATGGTTTCTCTACTCTCCCATGTGCCTCTAAAGTAAAGCAGAACACCGGTGCCTTTGACTCGTTATGTTCAAGTACAGTATAACAAATTCATGAGAAAAAGCACGTGCTGCTCTCCTCTTTGACCACACTCAAAACAGTAGACATAGGAACTCCAGAGATTGAAAGCTGTTTTTCTCAGTTGCTCTTTTGTTCTTTGTTTTCCTTGTTGAAAATCGTGAAAAACTTTCCAATGGCCCATCTGTGTGTGTGTGCATATCGCTTAAACTAAAGCACAAATCCAATTTCTAGCCACCATCAGCCCTGGTGGTAGAGGCACGGAAAGAGAGGGCAAGGGAAAGCCAGAGAAATGTCTTTTCTTTTTTCTTTCTTTTTATTTACTTTCTTTTCCACAGCTGTGAAAGCATTTTCTGTGCTTTTCAAAAACAATAGGCATAGCACTATAGCTAATTCTGACTAAAGACATATTTTTCTATTTTATGTCAGATTTACTAATCAGAAGATGCCTTAATTTATGTTTATATGGTGTGAAGCACCACATCGTCTTGTACCACTGCTGAGTAATAATGGAAACAGATGATTAAGTACTCATACAGTTGCTTTCAGAACGTAAAAGTGAAATAACGAGACGAAATACAAAGTAGACATATAAATAGACTGCGTGGTGGAGGAAAGTATTCAACGCGAGTTGAATGAACAAGCACAATGAGAAATTAGATTTTCTTATATCTCCAATAAAATAAAGCAAATTTGGAAGAACTAAAGCAATACCCATGTCACATAACATTAAAGAAATATGTGCTTGCATAATAATTGAGCTCTCTTTCTATAAAATATCCCCATGAAGATGGAAAGAAAAAAGTTTTGAAAGTAAAGCAGTATTATGGTCGCCTTCAACAAAGAAGTTTGTAGCTTTGCTTGTTTATTTATCAAATATTTATCGATTACCTACCACATGCCGAGAATTGTTCCACAGCTAGGGATTTAGGCAGGGTCCTCTTTCACCGAGCTTATGTTTCCATGGGCAAAATGATGAGTCAGTCAGACGACAGCCCAAATCGGGTGAGAAAACTAAAAAGACAAGCTCACTGTGACCCTACTGGCCAGAGTAGAACGGCCCCCTGGGAAGGGCTGAGGGTTTTGGCCTGCTGATCTTGTGAGGCTACCCTTCATTGTACTAAGGGAAGGCCTCTCTGGGCGGGTGATATTTGATAAAAATGCCCATCTTGGGGCCATGTATACCAGACAGAGCAAAGAGCAGATGCAGAACCTTAAGTTAGAAAGAGATCGATTGTCCTTAAGAAACAGAACCCGTTAAATGGGACGGGCTGGAGAGACTTAGTCAAGCCCAGATCTCAGAAGGCTTGCTGGGTCATGATAACCAGTTGTCCTCGAGCCAATCTGACTCTTAGTGACTCCATCTGTCAAAGTAGAACTGTGTTCTGTTTTCAGTAGATGACTTTTTGGGGAGTTGATTGCCAGGTTTTTCTTATGAGGCACTTGGGGATAGACTTGACCTCCAACTTTTCCATGAGAAGCAGAGCACACCTATTTATACATCTCAGAGACTCCGCGACCAGAAACTTAAATTTTATTTGTGGGGAAAAGGCCCGCCTCCCACAATTAACCAGTAAGTGCAATTGTACAGTTGAGATATATAAAGATTACAATAAAGTCATTGAGCATGAGAGAGACTGGAAAGAGTAAAATAAAGACGTCAGATACATTTCATGGTAGCATGCTCACCTCCTGGATGGCCATGATCTCAACAGCCAGGTCAGCGCACAGCATGGGCCGAGAGCAGGAGAGAGAGGTGTGGCGCATCGATTTATTGCTCCCAACGCTTAGCTAACCCAGCTTTAGGGGGCATGATTACAGGTAACCACACACATCACAGGAAGGGGCTGTACCATAGGCAATACAAGCAATAGAAGGGGGATATACAATGGGCATAGGTGTAGCGGGAAGGAGATGAGCTAGGGGTGTACACATGATAGGAAGGGGAGGGACTAGAGCTATACATGTGACAAGAGGGGCGGATCACTAGACTCAATATGGCAGCCTAACCTTGGTCACCCTTGAGTGCACATGACCTCCCTGGGCTCTCTTTCAGGGAAACAATTTACTACTATGCTTATCAGAAGGGAGTGAGCCTTAGTTCTTGTGGGATAAACAGTGGTGTCTGCTTGCTCTGGATAGCTGATAACCCTTAGGAGGAATAACCCCTGACCTACTTCTGTTGACCTCCAAGTATATAGTCATTTGCCACGTGTAGCAAGCAGCTAAGTTTGGGACATATTTGGGGGAGACAACTTGGGAGAAATATTTTTGTTTCCCACATTTATTAATAATGTAATGGGGAGATTTGGAGGGTTGTAGAGAGGCAGGTTTTTGTTTGTTTGTTTGTTTCAGTGTCATTACTTGTGTTATATTTTAGAAACACATTTCTGCCACCTAAGAATGGCTGATAGATTACACACTGGTTAGAATGCTACTGCTACAAAATAGCCAATGAGAATGGATGGTCTGTATTTGGATTTACTTTTGAATTTGACGGTGTTGGGCCTTATTTCCATTGTGTAGCACTGCTTCTAGCAAAAGGGAAATGTATTAAGGAATAGTGACAGATGAGGCAGAGAGGAAAATAAATAAAACCCATGAGAAACAAGACGGATGATAATGGTATTGATAAAGTGACCTGAGAGATTGCAGGTGACAGATGTATGTATTTGGGACTTTCTATTCTAGAGGCAGACAAAAGCTATTATGTGGGTTGTTTCTGCCATTGATTGCCCCTGCCCCTTCAGTGATTTCTAGCATCCACGCATCCACTTGTATATTCCTGCCTATCAGATTACAACATGAGAAGGAACTTTTTTATTCTTGATGTAGAATCTTCTTTGTATTCTCCCTTACCTTGGAATAAACTACTTGACTCTAATTATTCACCTTCCTTATTATTACAGGATGTTCCTCTCATAACATGTTGGACTTTAAACTTTAATAAATATGAGCGATTATTCTAGGAACCCTGAAGGATTTGGTTTTCAGTAGAAACTATTTTATAGTTAGTGAACTACAACAGAGAGAAGTTTTAGGACCACATAGGGAAAGTATTTTTTTATCATATTAAAAACAATGCATTTAATTAATTAATCAGTCAAGTACTCGAACCTACTATGAGTGCTTTATAAATATTTGTGGGTAAGTGAAAATAACTGAAACTATAAAATATATTCTAACTTTGTCTTTTTAATATAAGGATATATACTAATATAAACCAATATGCCAACGCTATTGTCTTCTTTCCTTATGAACACTGGGACCAGTCTCTATGGGTGAATTCCCTTTTTCAAAAGGCTTGAAAAAATTATATTTAATCTTCAGTTGAGAAGCATCTTCCTTCAACTATCACTTAA